GATTCTCTAATATGACACATTAATAAACGCTGGTCATCGGGTGGTCTTATGATGCCATAAAACCACAATTCCTAATGTCTATATCTGTGAAAAAAATAATTATAAAAAACTAGGCATTTATGAAGTCATTTCAACCACAACTACTCCTCCGTAAAAATTCTAAAGCATCTAAATGTTAATACGGTTTCCTACAGCATCCTAATAAGGCAAAGGAAGAGTCCCAATTTCTAAACCTGATTATAATAATAATAATAAAAGAATCGAGTTTCTTCCACATTTCAACTTCCAAGATTCGCGTCTTTTGACAGTACTCGGTTTATATTCTCACCTTAGTATCTTATCTAGTGTCGAGCTCTCCACCGTCGCCACCGCCATCGTGTTTAATTCCCTGCTGATGACTAGCTTACACAAATAATAAGGTTTTTTATACGATAATTGAGAATAATCACACGAAGCACATTATTTGTTTACTCTATCAGCCGCTGACGCCAACCGCGTTCGAGTTTCAGTGTGCATTGAACCCATTTCGCGGGATAGTTATTTGTTTCTTGTTTAATTGTGTTATTTGCTTTTTATAAAATAACTGGGTTGATAATTTTGTATGTTTAAATTCCTTGGTGGTTGTGATTATGCTAATTAGTACGCATTCCAATCTCGCGTAATTTCCCCCCGTTTCCCCTACTTACGCCCCTAATCACCTCTCGATATAACAACAGAACCCTCATTCAACCTCCCCAAAAATCAAACCACCCACAAATATAAATAAATCCCCTCTAAAACCAACCCCAAAAGCCCTACGAGGAGAAAAAAACACCCCATTGAAAGAAAGCGGAGGCGACGAGCGGCGAGTGCGCATGCGCGGGCCTCGAGCTGCACCAAAGTTTGAATTCGCGAGACGTTGAGTGACTTTTCTCCGTACACGTCCCACTTTCGGTCTTTTTCATGTGAGGAGTCATTTTCCGAGAGGTGAGGTGAGTTGCTTTTCCAGTGGGGGTGTTATTCGATGGGTTTAGATACATTAGATGTGGTTTTTAGTGAGATTAGCCTGTGTATTAGCGTCTTTATTTAAAAGGTTCGTGTGAGGGGTGATTTCGGCGTCGTGTTGCTGTCACTGTTTTGGGGGAATTTAAATGGATAGGAGTTGGTCTGTGTGCTCTTATTATGGGGGTATTGGAGTGCTTGTGGTGTAGTTTAGTCTGGATAACATATATTTCTTGGATGTGTAATATACTGCAGGACATTTAATTTTTTTTTTTTTTTTTCAACAAACGTATTTTTAAAGTTGAATTTTCACAATTAACGTTTAAACAATTAAGAACTTATGTGGATAAGCTCTACTATTTGGCAGTTCTTTAGTACATATTGCAGAAAACGGACAAAGAAATGCAAAGGAAGGGATTCAAATGATATTCAAAACATACAAAGTGATTTAAATATCTTGGCGTTCCTGTCCGGGTCAAGTGAGGTCATACGGCCGTTTATACCTGACCAGGTGCCCTATTGACAAGGATTTCTAAAAGCAGTGGTGTGTGTTTGTCTCTATTTCGTTTTGTTTTGCTGTACATTTAATTTTCTTTTTTTCCTTTTTAATATGCTGGTCACACGTAGACGAGGAAGACGGCAACTTCAATCTTTATCTAAGAGGATTTGTATTTGATTCATAAAGATTTTCAAATGCCAGACTGTGGAATTAGACCATTGTGAGCCAATTTGAATACTCGTTTTGTCCAAACTTACCATCATATAAGACAAAAGAAATTCCAATCTGTCCAACAGTTACATGTTCCGAGGACATATGACTGTGGAAGTAAATGGTACTTCACGATACACAGATCTGTCCCACAGTACCACAGTTCACTACTGATTTTTAAAGTAAGCATTTGATAACTGCCTAATGTTAATTAAACATTCGTAAGCAAATGGTTAATGGCAGTTTGTATTTAATCGTATATTTATGATATCTCCTTGGTGTCCTCTTAAAAGTCCCTCATCACTTCAGTCACACCACTGAAAAAAAGGATTACAACCACAGTGCTGAACGAGGCATTTTGACATGACCCACATTCCCAAAATCATGAAAAGTCGCAACATCAATATGCATCTCTCTTGTTTCATCAGTTTAGATGTGTGTTGATAGTCCTGTATTAATTTATTTAGAAAAAATGTGTATGTATATTTAAATGAATGAACCTATATATTACAAATATTCCCACCCCCCCTCATGTATTTAGAGGAATAAACTCCCATTTCTCCGTTTCTTAAATTTCAGTTCTCCAGCAGAGAGAGAGAGAGAAAGAATCCTGGCCAACATGGGTGAGGCAGAGGGAGCTGCTAACCGCTGGGAACTGAGCAAGGAGAACATCCAGCCGCTGAAGCAGGGACGGAAGGCCACCGTCTTGTCTGTGGCCCTTGATGAGAGTGCTGCACGCAAGCTTAATGCAGAGAGGCAGTATGTTTTTGTTGCATTTTTTTCTTTGTATTACCAAATACTTTTTTATGCTCTATCCATAAAACTTCACTTACATCTATTAGCTAGACGGTAGAAAAGAATTCAGCAGCTGTGATATAGAGCACTACTTCTGAATTGGGACAGCTGATATTTCTCATTAAGAAGCAGTATCAAAGAGAAATTAAAGTTTCACAATTGCTTTGTCTTGTTTCTCACTGTACCCATCACTGTGATCCATGTGAGGGTAGATGTACATGCTTAAAATCAAACGTTAACCTTGGTTCTAAAACATGACTACAACTTATTAACTACTACCTCAGTGTGGTTGATACTTGGTTCCTTCTTTCCCCCTTAGTATAAACAATTCTTAAGACTTTATCATGCTTATGTGTATCTCTTAATAATGGGATAGATTCCTGAAATCTACAACTTGACTAAAATGACAATTGAAATCCTTATTGTTTCCAAGTTTTTTGTTTTTTTTTCTCCCTAGTATAATAGATACTATAAGGGAATAAGTCAGTTTGCCTGTTATTGCCATAGAAAGTTTACATTTCTCATTCTTATTATCACTATTATTATTGTTGTTATTTCTTGTAATATTAATTGGGTTATTACACATGGAATATTCAGTTATCCTTTTTTATGGTAATCTTTGTTGCACAACAAACCTCTTTGTTTTTCTTAACAGTGTATTTGAAGAGGAATTACGCACCTATTCCGGAGATGATCCCCTGGACGTATGGTACCGTTATGTACTTTGGGTTGAGCAGAACTACCCCAAAGGAGGTAAGGAGGGAAACATCATGAAGCTCATCGAAAAGTGCGTCACTGCCCTGCACACCAGCAAAGACACCCACAAGAAATATGACAATGACACTCGTTTCTTGGAACTCTGGATTAAATATGTAAGTGTGGCAATTTCTAAATTTATGGAACAGCTTCAGATGAAAGTCACATTGCATACTATAGATTGTTTAACAGTTGTCTCTGGATTAATTATCAGGTTCCCAAACTTAACTCTGAGAACAAACTGTAATCTTTTTGTTGGAGAAAGTAGACCTTTTTCTTGGTAGAAGTCTTTTCATTCCAACATAATTTGAATTCACAGGCAAATCTGTGTCCCAGTCCAGTGGAAATCTATCAGACACTGGAGGCCAAGGGAATGTGTACAGGCCTTGCTGAATTCTATATGAGCTGGGCATGGGAGATTGAGAAAGTGGGCAACTATAAGCGTGCAGATGCAATCTATCAGAAGGGTCTCCAGAATGGGGCTAAGCCATTAGATGTCCTGGAAGATGCACATAAGTAAGGCATTTGTATTTTTCTGGTTCATTGTACCCATTCATCGTTGGTGTTATTTGTAAATATGTAGTATTAGGATGACCTATAAATGTTTGTCTCTTTCATTTGAAGGGAAAAGATAGACTGACTACCTTACAGTTTCTTGGATATATAAGTACTAATTATAAATCTTATATCTGTATCTTGATCACATTTGATTAGCAAGTTTTTTAGTTTATGTAGGTATATACATGCTTTGGACATGCATGATCCACAGAATTCTCACACACCATCTACCCTTGTGCCTCCAGAAAGTTCCAGATGAGAGTTACCCGTTCAACACTGGAAGGAAAGCTGGTGGAGACTGATACAAGTTCCTCTGAAGCCCAGAGAGCTGCACTCACCTCTCTGAAACCACAGGGACGCAAGCACCACGTCCCGACTGAACGTGTGGGAGCTAATGTCATTGGGCCTGCAGGAAGGGTAGCTGTTGCTCCTCCCTCAAGCAACCGGGGGGGACCATCATTTCAGATTTTCCAAGTGAGTCGGGGCTCCAGGCTCGTTCGATGATATTGTTCTTGTATTGGATATAAGGGCTGTAAGAAGGGCCAGCATTTCTTTTGCTTTAACCAAGGACAGAGAGATACAAACCTTTTTTGCTGTTGATACATGTTATTATGCCATCATTGGTCTATTTCATTTACTGACTTTGTGTGGAATTTCATTGTCAGTAGTTAACTTTTTTATTCCATTCTCTTACACTGTCAACTGCTGTTCATTTATCTGTTAGCTACTGCAACTTGAGTCTCATAACATGCATTCACATTACAAAAATATTGATTTCTTTGTCATTTTATCTAATTTTTACATCTGCCATTACCTCTTTCCTCCCTTCAATTTTATAATTTCTTCTTTACTAGATTTTGATCTAAACTTTTCAGGATACAGGTGGCCAGTCAATGGCTTCTCAGAGAGAGGGCTCTGGGGCAGCTCTGCCAGTCAGAACAGCAGTGAACAAAGAGAATGTCAAAGACGCTGGTGTTTGGTCAAAGGCTAAAGCTTCCCAGAGAACCACTCCTGTTGTGGCTGTGGAAGACCTCAACAAATACCAAAAACCTGCATTCTCATGTGAGCCTAAATTTTCAAGCTTGTATCACCATGATATTGATAGTGTATTATTTCAGGCAAAGCTATTTATACACAGCCATGTAAGTCTGATATTTATATGTTCATTTATCTTCACACAGTACATGAAGATGCTCAACTCTCTCAGCCCACAATCACCCCAGCAAAACTCCCACAGACGAGTAATGTTCTAAGCATTCGCAAAAAAGAGTTTGAGGAGTGGAATGTCCCCATGTTTATCTCCGAACCCTTCGACCCAAAAGTCCAACCACAGTATTGCAAACATAAGGTAAGTAATGGGGGGGAAAAGCACAAAAGGCACTTAAAAAAATGTCAGTATATCTTGCATGTAGGGCTTCATTGCTTGTTCTTTAGTTGTGCTTGAACTTTGGAGAACACTTTCATTTGTGTCACAGAGCCAAAGGAGAAAAAGAGATTAATAACATATATGATGGGAAGATTTTAAATTCAGTGATAGAATTCACAGAAAGTAGTTCTGAATAGAATCCTGAAGTAATCTGTTGTATATTGGTGAAATAAAATTATGTCTCCATATTTATAAGTTTACAAATCCTTTCTTGCAGGTGTATTGTGGCACAGAGGAGTTCAGCTTTGAAGAGCTTCGGGCAGCTAAATTTTTCAAGAAGCGTAAAGAGGAGGAGAAAAAGAATGGTGAGCATAAGATCATTATTAGTGTGAATTAACCTAGCTGTTTTATGAATATATACCATATGAAGATGTATGTTTGCTCCTTACTTTATGTATCCATATAAGTGAATCACAATTATCTAGTTTCCTTGCACAAGAGTAACTTGAAAAAAAATGTTTTGACATTTCAGCTGAGCTTCAACAAATGCAGGATATGCTCAAGAAGCAAGAGGAGATGATCCAGCAGTTACTGCAGGAACGTCTGTCTCAGCAAAAGAGAGAGGAATCTCAGTTAAGGGTAAATTTCATGTGTATTATTTATATTTCCCCTCTTTTGTTATTCAGTTCTCTCCCCTTCCTCCACCTTTCCTCAAATATTTCATCATGCATTATCAGTTGTGGTGTGATAAGTATCTTCCCATTCTTTTCAACATATCCAATACTGTATTGCAGGAATTTGCAAACTAGTCTGCATACCCCTGGGTTGTATGTTTTGGGTATGCAAGATAAAAATGAGACAATATATTAAATTGTTTTAAAATAAACTGACAGTGCTAATTTATATTGTAAACTGCACTAGAGTGACTGTTCCTTATGTTTGAACCTTACATCCATCCAGACTACTCTCAATTTTCTCTATTGATAATTATTGCTAACAGCCACATAGTTTGCAAACATAATGTTAAGCTAATAAATTAAATAAGCAATTAAATCAGAGAAAAAAAAACTGATCAGATTAGTGTGATGAAATGTGTTGTCTAGTTTTTATTTAAAAATTATCTATACATTATCATATGCTATAATCAGACTAGTTCAAAGCCTAGAAGGTGAAACATGGCCTGGAAATTTAGGGGGCTGCTGCTGTACTGTATATCCATTTTTTCAATCACATTCTCTGTTCATATAGGTGAATCTTTTATTTGTCTGTTCATTATGGTTATCCAGTGGTCCAAAATGAAGGAGTTTTCTTGTTGTCAGGCTGCTGAGATGGTCTCCCCAGCAGAACCTGCCTTGGAAAGCAGTTCGGTTAGAAGAAAGAGAGAAGACAGGAGGGCAGAGGTATGAGATCTATTTATTAATGTTTCTGATATATACCTTTTGTTCTTTCCCTGTGTTGTACCATTAGTGCGTGTATGCGTGAGGGCTTTTCTTTTTTCATGAACAAGTGCATATTTTTTTTAGTTTGGTTTGTTTTTACTTTGTTCTGAGACCGTAGATATGTACTTAGGTGTATTAAGCACAGAACCTTCCCCTTCCTCAACAGAATATGGGACGCAACATCTATCACGACAGTTGGGTTGCCATTAACAAGTCAGTGAATGCCTCTGTCAACTACTCGGTGAATGCATCTCATGTAAGTTGCTCATAGCTGCAGATGGAATTAGTTTTGACACAGAATTATTAAAGGAACAAAATATATTAATTTTTTACAGAAGAATACTTTATCATCATGACCAGAAGTCGCTACTTAAAGAAAACGGTATAAAGCAATGACAAAAATCTGTTGCTTTGTTTTGATAATGGTTGTAAATAAAATAGTCCTATGCTGCATTCATTTAGTTGATTCTCTATTTTTTGACAGCTTTTGGATGAAAGTACTACCAGTGCATTGCTACAGTGCCAGCCTGCAGTGGCCAGTCCTTGTAGCAAGGAATCTTCCCATGTACAAGAACCTAGTTTGTCAGTGCCAGGTAAGTTTTATAATCTTGGTTGTAGATCAGAATTGGTGATTGCAAAGGTATCTTGCCAGACTACATTCAGTTTGGGATTTTTGTAATCTACCTTGATATAAGGCAGAAGAATAATGAAACAAGTTCTGAAAGAGGGTAAGGTCGCTTGTGATAGTAGGACAAAACCGAACGAATGCTTTAGAGAAATCGGTGCCTTCACCTATATTACCCTATGAATGTCCCCTCTCCTTGCAGCGCCCCTCCCTACTAGCCGGGACAATTCCAACCTGAGTTCCAGCAGCAACTCGCGTGGTCTCAATATCACTGACCCCACCGTTAACACCAAGATGGCCATGAACATGATCAATGAGATGTGGTCGGCGAGTCTTTTCAAAGATGACCTCCAGCAGGACACCAACAGCCTGGGACAGACGCCCGAACCTGAGCCCAAGGCAGCTGCGAAGGCAAGCGCACCCTTCTCTATCTTCCAGGTTAGTATGGAAAGGGATAAGGGAAGTATGCTGCACTGAGGAAAAGTCAAGCATATGCATGTCTGTGTGTGAGGTTTGTATGCCTGTAGGGGGGTGAGGGTGGAATAAGTGAGATGTATGCTGATCTATTACTTGTATTTATATGTGCATATTCAGGAAATGTTGCTTGTAGGTGCTACTGCATGTGGCTAAGTTGATGTACTACCTAAACTAATTTTTATTATTATTATTTAAATCTTGGCAGGATAGCAACCCTAGTCATAGTGGCAAGGATTCAAACTCTGCACCATTCACCATATTCAGCGATACATCTGATAAGAAACCAGTGAAGAGTGATCCATTCACAATTTTCTCTGACGAGGTTGAAAGCGCCCCCAAGAAGCAGGAAATCAAACCGTGCCAGCCATTTGCCATATTCTCTGATGCCGAGGTTGGTGTCTCCTCAGATTTGTTATTATTATTATTATTATTATTATTATTATTATTATTATTATTATATTACCCTAAAGAGTAGTTTATCTTTTACTACTAGGAATCTATTTTCTTGTTATTGTGATGCTCGGGAAATGTCTGAATCATGTATTACTTGCTTCTACCAACATCACCCAAATACCAACCATGCTAGACATTTACAAAAAGATTTCAATAAACAGACTAACCTACCACCATCCACATTCCACTCATCCACCCAGGCCTGCAAAGTACCCGACCCAAATGATCTGTACCTCGATGACAACAACGAGAACGACCCCCCGGCAGGTTTTGTTCAGCAAAAGGATTTCCGGAGCACCTCTGGCATCCTGCAGCCTGCTACCAATGTCCCTGTGCTGACTGTGGAGGAGGCAAATGGGCCAGAGGTGGAGGAGGAGAAAGTGGAGGGGGCTGTGGGTAGGGATGATAGAGGGGACTTGGAAAGGGTAGGTTTATTTTTCTGGACATTCATTTTTCTACTCTTTCGTTAAAGAGAGAGTGATATTTGATTTGATGACTTAGAGAAATATATAATCACTGAAATATCAGAGAAAAAGTTTATTAGTGTACCTGCTAATTATCTGTAGTCATTAGTTCCACATCAGATCTTTCATTACCCATTGCATTACCTTCCCTCCCTTTCTGTCTTCCATTAGGATGATGATTATCTAGATGACATTGTACCCTTGAATGGAGGAAACCTGGCTGACTTGACCCTGAAGATGCCCAAAAACCCTGAGGCTTTTGCCAAGATGGCCAAGGTGGCATCCACACCTGGGCCGTGGTCACTTGGCTGTGTACCCCAGGCCACAACCAATGGGGACGACTTCACCATGGCTGTCCTGAAGATTAAAGAGTGAGGCGATAAACTAACACTTCTTTCCCTTTGTTTCTTTCTAGTTATAGTTATATTTTCATTATTTTTCAATTTGAAACTTGGAGAACCTGTCCATCTAATTCTTCATTGTGTAGTCCTTGCAACTGAAAATTTCCATATCTATAACCTCAAAAATCCTAATTCAAATATTGACTCATATTTATCTTGCTCCTTTGGTAGCCACTTCCCAGAAATAAAAGAAAACGAAGAGGAAAAGGAAGACAGTGGAGAGCTCATGCCTCCTCCTCCAGTCACCCAAGCTCCTCCCTCCTCGCCCATCCCCAAGCCTGCTCTCTCCCCCATTATGGAGGCTTCGAGAGAGTACAGGTAAAGAGGCTTCAGCGGTTATTTGGTGTTTTTACTTTTATTTTGCCTCCTGATCTTGTATTATTAGTAGGTAGGGTTATACTTGAATTTTGTATTCATGTGTTGGCCTTCTTAATTTCTTCCTGTTGGTGCTCCTTTATATATTCTTGTCAGGAATTTTGGATAGGATAACAATACTTGCATCTTTGCAGGTCGTCTTCCACCTCCAGCAGCTCTGGCTATTCCACCACATCCACCACTCTCGGAGGCCACACTGTGCATGGGATCACCCAGCAAGGGGGTCTGTCCACCACACACATCTCTCGCTCACGACACAACTCCCACACACAGATAGAGGTGAGTTGTATGAGATTGTTTGATTCTGAAGATGTGTAACTGTAAATATTAATCCTTGGTCATAGCTTTTAAAACAAATGTGCATCACTTTGATCTGTTGTTTACTGGTAAAGAAAACTGTGGTAAATTGTGTAATATGCAGTTTCAATGCTTTACTTTACTTTCATCTTAACTTGCTCTATTATTTTTACCCTTTACCATTTCTTCTCTTCAAGTTTGGTCTTGAGAATGGAGGACCTGCTCAGACAGGAGACTTTACCAAATCAGGATATTTAGCTGACAAATCACGAGGAGAGAGTCTTGCTGAAACCAAACCAAGTTTTGCAACACAGGTATGTCTGCCTTGAGTACAATTTTTGAGGATGAGTCATATGTTTAAAATAGATGACTGGAACAAATCTGGCTAGGTTTCAGATTATCCTGGAGTGCATGTGTGTGTGGAAAGTGTATTGTTTCATTTTCTTTATCTCTAAATTTCTTTCAGCTGCAGTTTCGAGCAGATGATAAAGATGACTTTGACCCACGCCAAGCAGCTGTCATGCTAATGAACATGGATGAAATGCCACAGTCACTGGCTGAGTCTACCAGGATAGATGCAAGAGAACCTAAACAGGTTTCAGCTTGCAAGGTGAGATTTTTTATGTTCTTCATTCCACTTGTTGAATATACATTTTCTTTTCTGTTCGATAGATAATGATGATGATGAGCATCCTCAATTATAGCTTAAAGATGTTAATTCTGTTTTATCTTCAGCTGCAGTTTCGAGCAGATGATAAAGATGACTTTGACCCACGCCAAGCAGCTGTCATGCTAATGAACATGGATGAAATGCCACAGTCACTGGCTGAGTCTACCAGGATAGATGCAAGAGAACCTAAACAGGTTTCAGCTTGCAAGGTGAGATTTTTTATGTTCTTCATTCCACTTGTTGAATATACATTTTCTTTTCTGTTCGATAGATAATGATGATGATGAGCATCCTCAATTATAGCTTAAAGATGTTAATTCTGTTTTCTGTGGTTTATCATCCCCTGAATATGCACTTTAAAATGCTTTCAGGCACAAAAGCCAAGGCTACCTGATATGATCAATCCCTTTGATGAGGACCTCCAACAAACTCTCCTGCTAAATATGGAACAGCCTGTTGAGGAGCGAGGAGGCTTTGTGCTGCAACAAGGAAAGCTGCCTCAAGTAAAGCCAAATAGCCAGGTAAATAGGGAGTGGCTTGGTATTGCTACATAAAATCTGCCATAGTTTTCCATGTTTCTCTCTTGTTCCTTCTTTCTTTGTCATTTTCCTCTTTTTTTTCTGGTTTCTCCTTCATTCCTTTCAGCATTTTCTAACTCCTTTCCTCCATTTCCTTTCTTCTCCTATATCCCTCTTCCTCTTCCCTTTCCAAATTCTCATAAAAACCCACCAAAACCGCTACCCACCAATCTCATTCAAGCTTTTTCTGGCCTCTCAAAGATCACCCTTGGAGGCGAGATGTTCCATGTCCGGCGCCTGCGGGGGGAGGGAGCCTATGCCAAGGTGTACCAGGCCTCCACACTTGACCCCATGAATGTCACCATCCTACCCTCTCTGGATGACAGTGATGATGAAGATGAGGAGGAGGATGACGAGAAACAGGTAAGAGAGAGTAGACTTGTAGTCTGTGTAAATGTTAATAGAGCAGGCTGGTATGTTGGTGTGTATAGGTATGACTACTTTCTACTTTTTCTTGCTGATTTTTTAGTAGAGATGTTAGATATGTGAAAGTTAAAGTTCAATATGCAAATTATAAAAATGCCAAACAAATATGTGTATATATATTGGATGCCATTGGATTTTTTTTTTTTTTTTTTATTAATGATGGGTGCTTTACATAATGTCTCAAAGAGCACTTTTGTCATTTCCAGATGATTCTGAAAGTTCAAAAGCCATCCTGCCCATGGGAGTTCTACATTTGCCATGAACTCCGCGAGCGGCTGAAGGCTGATGATGCATCCTTTAACATGCTAGACTCAGTCATGAGAATAAACAGAGGCTACTTCTACAATAATGGGTCAATCCTGGTGAACCAGTACCACAAGTATGGCACAATACTGGACATTGTGAACAGGTATGAGTATGGAGATTAATTAAAATGATTTTATCAATCATTTAGTTATTCTTTAACATATGTCATGAAAGTCTTGAATAAACAACTGTTGCTTTGTGGCTTCACTTATATTTCTTTTGCATCTTTTGTATACATAACAATTAACTCAACCCACTTGCAGATACAAGGTTGCTGGTAAGACTGTGCCAGAAGAACTAGCCATGTATTTCATGGTCGAGGTTCTGTCTATCCTAGAGGCACTGCATAGCTGCAACATAATCCACGCTGACATAAAGCCTGACAATTTCCTGATCCGCAACACCCCAGTCATAGATGCAACGGCAAGCTCCCCTGCTGAGATGTTTGCAAGCTGTCCATCGTCTGTGAAACTGATCGATTTTGGTCGAAGCATTGACATGCAGTTGTTGCCAGAGGGAACTACCTTTGTGGAAAAGGTATGTAAAAAAAAAAGTCTTTTGAAGTATAAATCTGAAATTGGAGTAATGTTAAGTATGTGTTAGGTCTTGGCATTGTCTCTTTATGTTCATTTGGTATCTCCTTATTAGTGGTCTAACTTTTGTATTAAAAACTAAAACAAGCAAAATAATCACATGAAAACTGTCATTATTCAGACATACTGACCATGTGTATATTTGCATGATTTTATAGCAAATGACTAGTAAAGTGAAGACTGAATGTTTATTTAGGGGGGAAAAAATGGTTATTAACCCTTCTCCCTCTATAACTGCAGGTAACAACAGAAGGCTTTAGTTGTTGTGAAATGAGAGAAGGCAAGCCTTGGACCTACCAGACTGACCTCTATGGAGCTGCAGCAATAGCCTTCTGCCTTCTCTTTGGTTCTTACATGGACGTCAAGAAGAGCATGAACGGCCAGTGGGAACTAAAGGGTGTCACTCTTAAAAGGTAATAACTGCTGTTATTGCATTTTTATGAAGTATTGCAATATTTCTTGTCAATTTAAGCTTTATTTTTAATAAATTATAAGATTATAAAATACATCATATTCTCATTATGAAAATCCTGTTATCATTATAGTATAAATATAATATTGGTTCATCTTCAATTGCCAAACACAGGTACTGGAAGAAGGATCTTTGGCAGTTGGTCTTCTCCACGCTGTTGAATGTCCCCTCCTGCTCAGCCATTCCTAGTCTGTCTAAGCTCAAGCAAAAAATTATGACCACCTTCTTTGAGAATGGCATGCAAAACGAGTTCAATGTGAAAGTTCAGCAACTGTTCACCATGATGATTCAAAAGAGCTGAGAATGAGTCACAGGCCGTCGGGAGATTTAAGAAGCCTGCGCCATGACGATTTTGTATGGATGGTTTTTAAATGATAACTTTCAGGTGAAGCAAAGTGATATGAGATACCAGTTAGATATTGTTATAAGTCGAGTATGAATTATTTTTTTTAGTGACGCTATGCAAACTGTCATAGGAAATGGTATATATAGTACATAATTCATACAAGCTTGTTACTCAAAGTTCAAAGGTATGTGCCTTCACCACAGTTGAAAAGTTTATTTTTTAAGGAAATGCTTCTACACTGTTTTGACATAGATGTTAAGGTCTTGACTAAACTTTTCTATTGTCCTATTGTTACCAAAGTCTGAATTGGGCCTTCATCTTTTCTGTCTTTTATTTCTTCTTTTAATTTCTGATGATTATGTTATTTTATGTGGTTTACAAGCACAAAACTGTATTTTTTTGTATAATACACTGAAGTGAGGATATAACTTGTAATACAAACTGTGTCAAAGACTGAAAGCCTTGCATAAATTGAATTTTTTAAGGCTAAGATGTATCTGTATTTTTTATGCAACAAATAAAGAACAAATTCTTATATGAATTTTTTATGGAAACCAGTTATTCCGTATTTCATACTCTTACAATGAAAAATACTTTGATTCTTTTGCTAGAACGTTTTTGTAGTTGTAAAAATAAGTATTTTTCTTGCGTGAATTTTCTAAATCAAAATCTACAAGGATTTATTAAGGGATACAGAGTTGACAAATTTTGCCACAAAACTTAGTTTGGCCTAATATAAGTAATATGTAAAGAGCTTAAAGGAAACAAAGCTGGCCTTTGGAATTTATATGTAATTCTCTGGCGTAGTAATTTCTAACAGTGACTCTTATTCTCCCCAGATATCTTTGAACATTTTAAAAAGGGAAGTTTTTGTTATATAAAAAAGTTGAACATGAAAGTTTTTTGAGGTGGAAATAAATATCTCCCACACATTATGCTGTGGACATAAGTAGGTTTTGATAAATAAAATTGGGACATTTTCAGAGACATTTGATTCATGATACAGCTCTGAATTTTTTCATAAAAAAATGTTTTAGAGCAAACTTTTGACAAGAAATGTAATTCACATTTCTAATGACTCACAAAGTGAAAAAAAAACATTCAGAATTTCCAGTAATTACTTTAAGATGTCAATGTATATACTCAATTCGCAATATTTTAATTTTATGTAATATAATCATTGGCTGTAGAAATACCCGAATTCCCAACATGGGGTGTACGTTAAGGGGAGGGATCTTCTTAACCTTATGAAAAAAAGCTTCATATATCTTGAAATGGTCCCAGTTTTCATTTCTTTTTTTTTCCTTTATTATTATTTTTTTGATCCCAACAAGTCATTCAGACAAATGTAAACAGGGACATAAGTGTTTGGTTAAGGGGGGCTTCAGCAAAACACAGCCATGCACATGTGGAAGAATTTTAGTAGGATATGTATGAAAAAGGAACAAAAAAAAAAAAAAAAATCAAATATATCTAGAATAGATTTTTAAAAACTACATACTGCTATTATCCAGAACTGGGACATACTAACAATACTCTTAGGCTTTAAAACTGCCACAAATTATGCATCTACATCCAGAAAATTATAAGGAAAACATTTCCAAAAGTACTCTTGTTGGGTAGAAGAATCCAGGAGAAACTTTTAAGCAGTACATACACATTGTTCATAATTTTTTTGTGTGTGGAGACCAGTGCCCTCAAATATACCAGATATCTTTTTTTTTTATATTAATCTAAGCTTTCAAAGTTGATAAATTTATAAAGTGTAGGACAATTTTAAAATGTAAGAGAGTAGTACCTACCTGATCTGCTAATAACCACATTACTGATAATGAAAGACTACAAAATAAATAAAATTTGATACATATATACATAACAACTGGGAAGACTAATAATACATAGATATGTTGGTAAATAGAATCTCCAATAATACAAACATAAAAATCACAAAAAACAGAAAATATATGGTTACATGAATTGAAAACATTCAATCATTAGTTTGTATAATTCCTTAAAAATACCTCTAATACATGTGTGCGCATAACCATGTTGATACTGTATAAATAAACTTTAAAATATGCACCAGTAATGACATGTTTGCAAAGGCTAGATCTAAATTTAGTGGGTCCAGTGCAGAACTAATTGTGTTTGCACCATTAATAAATTCATATACAATTCTACAGGGCAGTACATTAAAAAAAATGGCGTCAACATTTTTCCATATACTTACTTTTATGTATGTGTGTTTATATATATGTATGTACATACAGAAATGTGTGTATGTCTCAGACGGGGAGAAAAATATTGTATTGATAGTTCGCATTTAAAAGGATATTTTAAGATGTTTTTCTTGTTATGAAATTACATTTTGGGGGGAGTAATAGTAATATAAGCAATAAAAATAATAACATAGTAAGATAATGATAATATCAAAGAAAAAATAATAAAAACAAAATTAAAATCAATGATAAATAACAGGATATGACATTTAAATGAAACAAAAAGTTTTCCCTAAGGATATAATAATAATAAGACTAAAGGTATTGAAAAAAACTGTCAATTCATGTGATTTAATATACTTCAAATGGTACAAACATATTAAAGCATATTACACTACACCGCACAGCGAAACGTGTGTATGTATGTATGTATCTGGGTTTTGCTTTCTCTCCTGCCATTTGAATGCCCCGCAAAACTTCAAAATTTCGCAGAATTCAGAAACGTCTACTTTGTCGATAATTTCCATGAGAGTATAATTGTGAAAAGCATGAAGGGCTGATGATGGTCGACACTTCTCACAGTATTCACATTTTTCCACAACATTATATGTTAATTTAACATCTACATATTCAAGCATGCTTCTGATCTCATATTTGTAGGCCTATTCACACCAAGGCAAATTAACCAAAAAAATAACAATAACAACAATAATAATAATAATAATGATAATAATAATAATAATAATAATAATAATGATAATAATAATAATAATGATGATGATAATAATAATAATAATAACTGAATAAATGAAATAAAAAGATAGAGAAGATTGATAAGTAATTAAATCATTTACGCACGTCTCATACACAGTCACGTTTCGCTCGCATTATCCCAGTCACAAATTAATGGACATGGCCCGATTACTATTCCAAATATGAACAATCTGTATCCTTTGTGTATATGCCCTGAAGAAGCATTGAAATGTATTAATAATGATACTTTCGCATAGCATACTCTCATCTAAGAAGGCCACTTTACAACCTAGTACGATAAAATTATAATTTGCACCACTCGGTCGCAAACTACAAAGTGACATAATGGAGAGATATACTGTAATTGTTTTTATGGCAATTTTGTCGAATTCACTGCCACCCTGAAGTGTCCTAACATGCATAGTCGGTGGTTGCGGTACTAGTTTAACCCAAAATATATGCGTTGGTAAGTATGTAGTTGTAATGGTAACTCAAAGGATCACATAGGGAATAGTTCGAAAAAAGTGATAATAGATAAATAAATAAATACATAAATAATATAGATAAATAAATATATGAATTAAGTAAAATAGATAAATGAATAAATAAATAAATAAAATATTTAAATAAAAAGCTACATGAATTTACAACTCAAACCTGTTCCTCTCCCTTAGAATCGCACAAATCACGATATAAATGAACTCAACAGGTCCCAAATGCACGTGCTCGATCATAGTGACATTATTCCCTCTTAAACTTCAAAATGACAACAGAAGCGAAGAAGAATAAAAATCACATTAATATGACGATAGAGAGAGAAAAAAAATCTTTACGTCCGTTGTCTTCCCTCTCCTTCGCCTCTCGAAACCAACGTCCCTTTCGCGACCTTCGGCGACAAGTGCTTCTTCGCCTCCTGGTGGCCCTCCGCCGCGTCCTTCTCCAGATTCCCCACGAGGCTACGGCGCTTCTTCTTCCTGAATCGGTTGTGAGGTCGAACTCGCGCCCAGAACTTGTGAGGGATGTGTCGCTTTTGGATCTTGTGAGGGTCGTTTCCCTGGTTCACGTCGGGGGGGATGGCGGTGGAGAGGCTGGTGTTCAGGTCGTGGTAGTAGTTCTCCAGGGTTATCTCGGGAGAGCGGATGCCCAGGATTCTGAAGGAGGGGATGAAAGGGTCGTGAGAAGGGGTGAGGTTGTTGAGGATGGTGAGTGAGGAGGCGGCTGATGATGATGACTTATGACTGATGACTGATGACTAATGGCGATAGTGACAATTGGCGACGATGACCATTAAATAATGATCGGGTGGGATGGGATGGGATGGGATGGGATGGGATGGGGTGGGGGGGGGGGTGGTGTGGGGATGTATGTGGGGGGTAAAGCACTAATGATCATAATCGCAAGCTTTCTGAAATATCTGATGATTTGCGAATCTAACGCTGGATGGATCACGTGAATTCACGTACACGAACACAAATATAACCTATAATGATATGTGAACGAAGAAAAAGAAAGCACAGACCTCAATATGAGTTGAAAATGAACGTATGATAAACGAAAAGCATGATCCATTTTGGTATACATATACATATTAACTCTCTCTTTCTCTCTCTCTATATATATCCCTCTCTCCCTCTCTACCCATCTCTCTCTCTCTCTATATATATATATCAATCTATCTCCCTCTCTCTCTCCCTCTCTACCCATCGCTCTCTCCCTCTTTCCTCCTCTCTCTCTTCTTTCCCCCCCCCCACTCCCCCCTCTCTCTCCCTCTCACACGTACACATACACACCTGAGGTCTATATAAGTACATATACATACCTTGTGCACTCCCACCTCCACCCTACACTCCCTCCCCCCCCTTCACCTCAGGCCCTCCAGTTTCTCCTCACTATCGCAACAAAAAAAATCGCTACATAATCATATTTTTCACTATTTTCACAATCAAAAACTCACCTCTCTGGAACCACAGGAATTGACAGCAACAGGATAGTAAGAAAGAGCAATGTTGATAGTATTAATATTTTGTACCTGCAAGAGAGAGAAAGTGATTATGTTAGATGTCTTTAGAGGTCAGATTATGACGATTGTGTTGACTGAAATACTAATGGTAGAAGAGATGTTGTGAATATCAATGATAATGACAATACTGTTGATAATTATGATGGTAATACTGGTAACGGTGGTGATAATACTGATGGTCATCATCATAATCGTGATAATTATGATAATAAAGATATTGATACTGATGATAATGATCACAACAATATAGCAATGGTGATAAAATAATAATAATAACAATGAAATTAAAACAATGATTATATAATAATAATAATAATAATGATAATAATAACAGTGAGGATGATTGCGATAACGATGATGATAATAATGATAAAAAGATAATGATAACGATATTAATAAGAGGAAGAATAAAACTAGACATAAAAATGAAAATAACAACAAAAATAATTGATAAATAATAATAATAATAACAATAATAATAATAATAATAAATAACTAATAGTAGTAATAGCTATAATAATGATAACAATTATAATGACTAATATACGTCCTAATTACCATAATCAACCTTATCATGATATTGATCATGTTTTCATAGAAACGATAATGATTATAGTAAAAGAAGAATTATATTAGTATGAACACAATATTGGTAATAATGATGAAACGACTTTTACTAGCGATAATAATGGTAATAATAAAATACAAATAATATTGGTAATGGTATAGTGTGTACATGTACTTAACCCAATGGTGCCGGGGAAAATGAACAAAAAATGGGGAAAATATTGTGCCCACTTTCTATGTTTTTCGTGAAATATCTGCCGATAGATGGCTCTGCTACCGCCTGATTTAAATGGCGGGAAAAACGTATTTTTCACTAGTGCTATGAAAATCGATGGTGTTATTTTTATCATAAACATTATAATTTTTATAATTTAAAAAAAAATTAGTAACAGCAAAATAAGATTACGTAAAATATTTTTTAAATCAAAGAAACGGGTAAACGGGCGAGACGGGCGGTGCTCGTGACTGGCTCATTGGGGAGTTAGTACAAGTGTTGCCATCTATGCGTGAAAACAATCAAACAAGTACTCACGGTGGGCATAGCACGTACGTACACGTCATACCCGGCACCAAGGGGTTAAGTATCTACATCACACACGCACATAGCTAATATAATGTGAACGTGTGCATATATACCTTTATCACACATTGACATATAGTATTAAACCAACTGCCCCGTATTTATATTCTGATCCCTGTAGTTTTTCTCTATTTATTTATCTATTTTTTGTAACTTTTGTTACATACAAATAGCTCCACATGAGCTTAGCCAGCAAGGAGTCTATCAGTAGGCCCTACTGACCGATCCTCATTTCCCCATTCCTTGAATTGGCGGGAAAATATGCTGACATCGGTACTGGAATTGTTATTGATGTTATGATAATTGTATTGTTATTAAAATCTCGATAACATTTAAGACGATGAAATAATGCAGAAGAGCCTTCCCGAAAGTCGAGGAAGAGGGAAAACAGGTGAGATAGGTAGGACTAACAACTGATGGTACTTAATCTCCATGGTGATTAAGTACTTGTAGAGCCATCTATGTGTAAATGCAATAAATAAACTTGTATTACACTGGGCATATGCATGAATTCTTTCCATACATGTCCATTGGATTAACTGAAATTGAAATCCATCAATCAGCACTAAAATTCAAACAGTGTGTGTGTGTGTGTGTGTTTGTTTGTTTGTTTGTGTGTGTGTGTGAGTGGTTCCAAAAGTCATAAATTTAATCCACGTCACACTCCTCTGGTCTTCGGGTTCACAAAAGACCACTTGTGAGAGGAGGAAATGAACGCAGCTGTTGCTCTCTGGGGGGTAATGAAGGGTGATCAATGAATTCGTACGAATAATG